TATATATATCTATCTATCTATCATTTCTTTGCCTTACACAATCAGCGGATGGCTGAATTTTTACAAGAAATGGGATTTACTTTTGTAAATTTTGTAAATGCTTGAAAGAGAAATTACTGTTTTTTGTTTCTGTTTTCTTTGAGTTTCTTTTTCTGTCATTTTTAACAAATGATGAGGTTCAGTCGGGTAGAAAAGGTCAAGCAAGAGTGCTTAGCGTCTCTGCTTATCTGCAAGGATTTTTCATCCGTGTTAAACCAGTCCATGTTGTAATTTCACTTAATTTGTCATCTGAGAAGGACATTTCTTTTTTTTTTTTTTTTTAAATGAGCTTTCTGAGCTGTGGAGAACACTCTCACTATTATTTTTACACCGGTGCAGCTTTAGCTGCATCTGAACATTGTCAGCCAGTGCTCTAAACCCACTCTACAAGTGCACGTGTACACCTTTCATGACTAGTTTTTATTTTGCATTTTGCATTTTGCCTTCTTTGCAAATACTCTATTTTAAAAATCCTTAGGGTGGGAGGAATGAAAGTCATTAACAAGTTTATATGAAAATATGCTTAATGAAAGAACAGAAGTTTTTACTTTAGACTATGTTTACATGCAGCCTAATGAAGTGTTGTTTGGCGTATGCTTATCATACTGTGACTAACAATATCCAATAACGCAGTCAGATTGAAGCACCAAAACAAAGGATAGCAACTTATTAGTTAACTGAAGCAGTCTGACTACTTTACACAAATGTGCAGGTAGAGATCTTGCTGTATATGGGAGTCTGCATGTAAATATACACGCAGCTTTCTACCTGCATGGGAGTAGTCGGTAACAGAATTTATAACAGCAATGCTCTGCATTGTTCACTAACTTTAACTAGCACCACAAGGAATCTGTTTGCAACACATTACGTGATTTCCTCCCATCTACAATGTCGGTAGCGCTCTTGTTTGGATTGCATATCTCACTGTTGACTAATAACTCCGAAGCCTCCTGCGAGTGACCTCATTGTCACATTTAAACCATCGACTTCTGTGCCATTCAATTAGGTTCAGGTGTGCAACGGAAACCGCTCGATGCTTCAATATGATTTGCCCGTGTGATGTTTTTATTTATAGGAGGTCACTGGCATTTGTATAGGACAGACCTATACAGGCAGGGTTGTTGATTGTGTAGGTGAGGATACAGCGAAGGCCTCTCCCCTGATTTTTTTTGTACTATCGTCTGTATGCTACTATCACAATGGTGTAAAAAAAAAAAAAAATGTAAATGTTTATTGGATAATAGTTTTGGATTTGTTACTGTTTATATTTGCAGGATGTGGATGTATTTTCTTCATGTATTTTGTTTGTAAAAAATGGATTTCTAATTTACTAGCATGTTTGCTTTTGCCAATAAAGATGGAGGAATGGGGTGCTTGGAAAACGATCAAAACAGAAGAAAGAAAAGAGGGGAAAATACACTTGAAATTGGATCTGGGAAAGGAAAAAAAAACATTTTGAGATAAAAGAAGAAAATTGACCAAAAAAAAGACGTCAATATTGGCGAGAGGGGGAAAAAAAGGCAAGCAAAAGCATTCCAGAAAATATTACCTGAAACTCTTGTGTGGTCTCCTTCATTTTGCATGTTATGATAGAAATGTTAATGCATCCATTAGCTGACCTGAAGTACCACGGAGAACTACGGAGAAGCCTCTGAAACAAGGTGTCCTTGTTTATAAAAAAATAACGGCTTCTGCCTTATTCACTATTTCATATTACAGGGCACCTTGGAGTGCTCAGGACTCTATATATTACTCAGAAACACAATTATTGCTGCAGGTTTTAGAATTAGTCTAGAGTTACATGTTGGGCACAAATATAAAGAACGTGTAACTGGATTGTCATATTATAATACCTTCCATTGTGTCTATCATACTAATAATGTTGGCATATATAAGAATAACCTCCACTTTGTCACCCACACCCCCAAACTAATCCCACCACATCACGGTACAAACTGTGACCTTTGACACTCAGTTTAATTACAGCGATTATGACCTATTGAAATATCTGTAAATAGTGCAATAGTGTTTCTTACGTTACGAAGTCAACCGAGTCTGTTGAGTTTAATGCAGATGCTTCCGGCTCTTCCAAGGGGAAAGAATTTCAAAGTAGTCCGTGACTGCTGCACTGTTCTGGGCAGATCCAACGCAGCGGCCTGGTAACTGCTGAGGGAACCAGAACTTGTAGCCTAATTGTGCTCTATGGAAGCCAATTACCACTACAATTTGATATAACCATAAATAAAAAAAAATGTAAAACAATTTGACAAAAATTAGAATGGACATTTTTCTAATACTATGGCATTGGTTAGTATAGTAATAAAAGGACGTTAAAATTACTAGACATCTAAGGAATAATACCTTAAGTCAAGTTATATATATTTTATATTTACATGTTTTATATTGTTTGAATATATATGTTTAAACAATTAAACTCTGATCTGACACATCTAGACAATCACATGTATCAATTAGAACGACAAAACAATGTTTTTTTGATTAAATTAAGTAAAACAACCATATCGATGATGATGAATTGAGAAACATCAAAAAAAGGCTGCTGAATTATAGCTAATCAAAATTAGTAGCCTCCTAAAACTACTCACCACATAAATGAATGTATGGTGTGACAGTTAGGTGGCCAGGTGGGGGGTGAAAAGAAAAGAGCCCCAATATGACAGCACTCTTCATAAAACATGTCATATGCAATCACCAGAATATGAATAGGCACAGATATGACGGACGTAAACATTGGCCTGTGAATTATGAATGGTCCCAGCTATATAACAGCTATTGAGGGTAAAGAAAAGGGAAGGGTGTGAAAGGGGACTTGGGGCTTTATTCAGACTAACATCTCATGAATTCCATAGGATCCCTGCACAGCTTCCTCACAGTTTCTCACATGTTGAATGTTTTAGGACACTTACATTTTCTCTCACTTTTACGTTTTTTATATAAAAAAAAACATAGATGAATTGTATTAATGTTATATTGTAAAATTTCAATATGCACTCATTAGGTACAAAATCAAAACGTTCAGTCTGTGATCAAAGATCTCAACTTTTCTTTTTAATTATTTAAATATATCTCCATCTGCAAAACGCAAGTTAAGTCTTTTCTCTCCCCTATCCTCATGCAATAGCCAGCCTACACGCAGCTCTTAGCGTTTGGCTCTCCAGACTGCAACAGGTCTGCATGGTGAGAAAAGACCTCGGCTGTTTTAATCTGTGTAATGAATAAGAACATGCCAGCGTGGTAATGGATGCCTGCCACCGTGCAGCTAAATTATTCAGAGTCTGGGGAACCAGAGACGCCGCTAGGAGGATCGGATGGACTCCGCTGGTGTCATCGGTCTGCCTCTGTCCGCCTGGCTCCTCTTTCGGCCCGTCCACCCCGACTCCGCGAGTTACCAAGCAGCCACACGAGACGGCTGTAAAGCAGCCCGGAGGATGGGCGTTCACAGGCCAAGGCCCTCGGGTCAACTGGTCAGCAACCATGCGGGCCTTATTACCCAGATACAAATGTGTTATATATAATACCAAAACTACGGGTCAATTATTGTGGACTTTCATCTCGCTGTGATATAGCATTATATAGGGAACACTGTCAGCACCACGGACAGCGCTGGAGCAGCCCGCACTATTCTCAGCGATGCTGCGCTGTCCATGGTGCTGAAATCATTGGACCTTTGTAGTGCCGTCTTTTCATTTTTGTTACGCCCTATATCATCATCAGTAAACCTGATAAACTGATAGAACATAATAACGATATGACCACAAAACAACGTTGTTATTAGAATATCATTAGTGATTTAGTTTGGGTTCATTTGATGCTTGCGCACAGAGGCCAACATTTTTCAACTTGTAAACTGAGCAGGTGGGAGGGAAGGAGGAGAGGGAGGCTGAAAGAAGAGGGGGGGAGGGGGGAGGACGAGGGAGAGAGGGATGCCGGGAGGCGCTGTCGATGTTAACAGCTCAGTCTGGTGAAGGAGAGCAGAGGAGCTCCGTATAGCTGTCCGATCCCCGGCTTTCATGTCAGGGGCCACACTGCTGGCGAGGTGCTTGAAGGGAGGAGGATGATGACCATGAACGGCAAACAGCATTTCTCCATGCACCCGGCTCTGCACGAGCCCAAGTATCCCGGCCTGCACTCAGGCTCGGAGGGCATGCGCAGAGTCTGTCTGCCCGCCCCGCAGGTACGTTCGGGTCAGGGGAGAATGGCTGTGGAGCATACTGGGCGAGAGGAGGGAAAATATCACACTGGAAATGTCTGTAAAGTTGATTTGACAGGACTTTGTTCTATCCACTATCTCCCTCTCTCTCTCTCTCTCTCTCTCTCTCTCTCTCCCCTGTCTGTGTCCCCCGTCTCTCCATCCCAACCCCCCCTCCTCCCCCCCTTCTCATCCACATGTCTTTTCAAGCAATGCTCTTGCTTTCATATTAATTTTTATGACCTGCGCTTTGAGGAGGGTTCTCTCCTCTCCTCGGCGCTGCTTGCCTTTGGAAAATGTTTTTTAGATCCTGAGAGCTGCCTGACAGAATTCCCTACTGACTCC